AAACGGTCCGTTACATTATGTAATGTATAATAGCGGTCATTATACAGCCTGGCTCAATAACATCCCAAAAGGACAATTAAGGGGTGTCCAAAGGAATTGTACAGAGGTAGATGTTTTTAAAAATCAAGCGAACACTTTAAAAGAAAAATTAATAAAGAAAAAATATTCTATTAAACTTATAGAGGAGTAGAGATTCTAAAGAAAACATAGCCCCGTTGGTGTGGAGAAAGATCAAATCAATTGTGAGGAAACATTGAACTTTCCAAACTTCTCCCTAACAAACTTTTTATTATTTTTAGAGGAGCACCAAATTTCAAACAGATGTTGAGAGTTAATCACCCCAAAAGAGAAATAAAAAATACTTTTTTAAATGAGAAAAACATTTTTTATTCATGTGGTTTATGAATGGGCTGTAAATGCAGTAAAAATAGAACCCTCAAAGGTGTTAGTAAATTCAGGACAAAATATAAGAACGAGGACTTTATTATAAATGATTTTGTTACTTGTTTTAGTAAAAATGTTATTTATCTTTTAATTTGTCCCTGCGGCCTACAGTACGTAGGAAGCACAATCCGTCCTCTACATAAGAGGATTTATGAACACGTAAATAATATCCGTAAAGGCTATGAGAATCATAGCGTTTCTGCCCATTTCAAAAAACACCACAATCAGGATCCAAATGGATAAAAATAGTTAATAAATCTTGGTGAGGAGGTAACCATATAAACAATATAGGAAGGGAAGAAATTAGATGGGTTTAAAAGTTAGACACTTTGGAGTCAAGAGGACTCAATATAGGATTTGATATTTTACATTTTTTATAAGGATGTTTTTTATTTATCATATTTTTATAGTAATTATGTTTGTTTCCTTTTTTTCCCTGAGTAGATTTTTTTTTCCCCCTCGGCATATTTCCTACCCTGAGCAGATTGTATTGTAAATATGTTTTTAAGTTTTTTTAAAATTAGTGAATTTATTATGTATTTATTTACAAAAGTTTCCAAAATCTTTTTAAATGTATTTTTAAAATGTATTTGCAATGTTCCTCCAAGTGTATATATTATGGTTTTCAATGTCTCTTAATGTCAGATTACTATATCTTTAAATATTAAGGCTGCTGCATAAGGAGTGTTCTATATTTGTTGTATGTAATTTTTGGAATCTATGCATGTAAAGCCTTATATATGTATGCAAAAGTTGCCTGTGATTTTAAACCAGTAAAACATTATAACAAGATTGTTTTTAAATATTTTGCCTTTATGATAATAAGGTTCTTTATATAGCCAATAAGAAGTTGTGTTTAGAATGTATCACGCCATTGGGGTGGATTTAAAAGGACTAAGTGTGAGAAGGAAATCCGATCTGAAGAAGCCGATCCCTCGGCGAAACGCGTCATCTGACAAGGAGTGTGACTTCATTACAAACGCTCCACCTCCCGAAAATATCATGAGAACACTACCTAACTCGAGCGTGTACAGAGAACTTTTGCCGGCGGCTACACGAACTCTGAACAGGACTGTTACATTTAGGATCTGGTGAATCTTGCTATTCAGCTTTTTATCTGTATTTGTGGAAATTAATATTTTTATTCTTATTGTCTGCAGTGGATATCTCTGCACATTTGGGCTATTCAAGGTAGTGCAGACTCATCTGCTTTATGTCTGTGAGTGAACCTCTTGTCCTATTATTTACTAAATATACTTTTTCCTTGCAATATTACACTATATATATTCTGTATTTTCTTCTGTGTATTACCATTTGGAGCTGTGATTGACTCCAGGTATATCATTAATGTAAGTTAATATTTATTTGTGCACCTTATCACTTTTCTGCAATTTTCACTTTTTTACTAATATGTACCGATTGGATATTCACATTTCACTTTTTATAAATGTGAAGTATATTGCACTTTATTTCACACAGCTGATGATGCTAGACAAATTTGCACTTTGAATTTTAGCGCCCCTATGTTTCTCTTTTTAATATATTTCAGTGTTTTATGGGCTAATACACCTACAGGTGCTGCTTCATTTGCTAAGGTTTACATTACTAGTATGTGTCTCTTTTTCACTTGTTGATTATATTTGTATTTGGTCGGCCCCAGGTGCCGACGGCCCACCAGGAAATTTCCCGGTATCCCAGTGGGCCAGTCCGGCCCTGCGTGGCTGTAAATTGGCGTGGCGAAAATAGCCTCGCCACTGGGTTTTGGAGGGGCCTGTTTGCCAGCCTCTTTCCCCAAGACTATGGGCCCTGCAAAAAGACATGCTAAAAAGTTACTTCCATGGAAAAATGTGCCTCTTCCCCTCCCCCTTTTTCCTGTCCTTTTGTTTCTTCAGCAGGGCTTTGTCCCAGGGACACTGCCAGACCAGTTGAAACTGGCTGCTTTGTCCCTCCTCAATCTCCCATCAGCCCTTGCTATTTTCTGACCCCACCCTTATTTGTACTATAGTGCACTTTTAACATTGAAAATAGACCGGCCGCACAGCCAAAATCTGTGGAACTATTTTGGGCATGAAAGCCATGCTTGCGGTCAGTCAAAAGAGACTTCCAGAAAACTTTTGAACCCCTGCTCTGATCTGGGTGATTTGGGGTATGTTGTTCACCCAGATGAGGGCTATCCAGGGATGTATCATTTGTGGGAATATGTGATGATTTGGGGTGTTTTCTGTGTTTTGTGAAAAATTTGTGTTTTCTGCCTGTGGGTAATTAAGTTAGTCCATTGTGTTTCTTAATTGTATCACAGGCAGAGGGGAGGGTTTGTGTACATTATCTGGGAGTGTCTGTTTTGATTGGCTTTGTGACTTTGTGTCCTGTGTACCACAAGGTCCACCTGGGTGGTGACCTTGTGGGGAAAAACTGTATAAAAGAGACAATAAACCCTCAGATCTGCTGGGTTCCTGTTTTACCCTCAACATAGAGCCTCGTCTCGTGTGGGGGAAAAGGCTGCATCTACACTGGGGATTGCTATACGCTGTATACTCCCCTGCCTATAATCACTAAGCTCTTTTGAGAGCTTATTCCTGCTACACTGTCTGGATGAGGAGAAGTCTACCCACTGGGAGCTGGATCCTGTTCTTGGATCCAGGGTGGGTGGAGGATGGCAAGACCCCAACCAAGCTGCAGCGGTTCGTGGGGTCTGCAGTGCTTATGGTGTCTGGTGCTGTGCTGATGGTCGTTTGTAAGCATTAGGAGCATCGATTGACGGAGGGTCCGTCACAGTTGGGCTTTAGAAGCTACACAACACATTGTAGGAATTGGACAGATAATTTTATAAACCACCCCACACACCTTTAAAAATCTTACAAAATTGTCCAGCTTTAGGAGCACATAGCCAGAGTGTAGCTCATTGGATATTGCAGTTACAAGATTAAGCACGGGTAGAAACCAGTAAAATATATGTTATATTTCTGATTTGATGGAAATACAAGGAACACTGCATGATTGTCAAAAGGAACTGGAAATAGAATCCAGATCTCCTTTTGAGAAACTAACAATACAAGGAGATGTCTTGTTTGTATGTGGAGGAACGAGACTTTATGCTGATGGATTACATCACACAGGTTATGCCATATATGATGATCAAACAAAAGAAATGCAAATATACAGATTGCTAGACCATATGTTTGCTCAGAGAGCTGAATTAGAGGCTGTAAGGAAAGCGCTAGAAATAACAGTGAATATAATCAGTGACAGCAGTTATGTAGTTAAAGCTTTAACACTTCACCTCCCAATATGGAGAAAAAGGTGAATGGCAGATTCTCATGATAAAGTTTTAAAACATGAAAGTATTCTGGCAGAGCTGTTTGACTATGCCGAAAAAAAGGTTTAACTTGTGGTGTTGTGAACCAGATGTACAGATCAGGAAGCAAAGGAAGCTGCTTTAATAGGGGAGTTGCAATGCTCAGAAAATGTAATGATTGCAGCTGTGAGCAAAAGACAAATAGCGAATACCCCATAAGATCAGAAAGAGAATTAGAGTAAAGATGTAGCTTTCACTATAGAAATAACGAAACTAGCGTGTTAGCATAATGAAACACAAACATTTGTACCATTACAGTGTTTCATATGTGTTCAATTTAATCCAAGACCAGAAACCAAAATTACAGAGAGTACGTTTGGCAAAAGGACCATCGGACTCTATATAAATTAATTTACATTATAATCGAAATTGGAAAAAAATAACTAAAAATGCTTGATGATAAAAGGAGTAGTTGGGTAGCACATATACCAAGAGTATTAATGTCTTTTCGTGCAACTCCAAACTCTAAAAACTGTCACCTCATGAGTTAATGACAGCAATAACTATGCAATCACTTTCCCCAATGAACCTTTTGCTCCAAATACTTTCAAAGTTGCAGTAGAATATGCTGAATGGTTGAAAGTATTAAAGGAACACCTGTAATCTGTTTTGAAGTTTGCTTCTTCAAATATGAAGATGTAACACAGGGAAACTATGCAGATAAGTTTAAATCAGGGGAAAAGGCGATGGTAAAATCATTTAAAACACCAGGTCCTTAGAAATAAGTTGGAAAAGGTCTTTATGTTATTCTAAAAATCAAAATTAGGAGAAACTGTGTTACAGATTCAAAAAGCAAACGTTGGTACAAAATATAATAAATTAATTCTTGTGCATAGTGATCGATGTACTAATGTATAAGAAACTTACTAGTAAACTGCCATCTGTTTTTTATTACAGAACCAATAATGTATTTTTTTCATGGATGAAACCTGGGTTGCACGCTTAAACGTGTATATACTGGAGGTGTGTAAAGAAACCATACCCCTTGCTGTTCTTAAACCAGTTGATATATTGTGGTTCACCATAAGACCAAGGGGTTCTAGCTTTCCAATTTCACAGAATATAATAATGTGGAATAATTAAAACTTAACTTTTTTAATGTGATAACAGTTAAAAGCAAATCTTGTTAAAAACAAGGGTTATGTCAATAAATTAATGTTTCCCAAATATTTCCCCCGTCATGATAAAAGAAGGGAGGCTGCTGAGATTGGATTGTCAATGAGTTAGTCGCAGTCAAAGATAACAAAGAATTGTTTTTTGTTTTTTTTAAACTGTTATCACATTAAAAGTTACATTTTAACTATACCACATCATTGTATTCTATACTGTGTGTATCTCACCTCCTGTCTGGTTGTTAAGTTGCATTATTGTCTTCATTTCCTTTTTGAATGCAGTCTCAGCTTCTTTTTCGATCCGTGTAATTATCTCCCCGTATATAGGCTCCAGTTTCTTTGCCCACGGGGCCACAATAACAGATCGGCCGATGTCACTGCTGTATTTTAAAATCTGTATCCAATCCACAAAACCCACCGATATATATTCAGGCATCCCAATGGAGACTACTGTGTCATAAAACTGGAGAGAGTGACCTGAGACAGACAGACACATGTCAGAGAGAGAGTGACCTGAGACAGACAGACACATGTCAGAGAGAGCGCGACACTATAAGTCAGGAAATCCTACGTTTTTACTATGCCCACACAGTCTATAAATCAATCACACTGTCTATAGATCAATCAGTCTATAAACATTCTGTTAGTCCAATAAAAAAAAGGTATTACAAGATACTAATTTTAGCTGTTTTTTTACATCTACTATTTTGTCTATATATATACAACCATATCACACAATATTAAGGAATCCATAAATCGAAACTGGCGTATGATGGTTAACGATACAAGCCTACCTAAACAGTTTGAATGTCCTCCAATGATGTGCTACCGCAGGGGCAAGAATCTGAGGGATTTGTTGGTCAAAACAGACCCCACACACTGCTACAACCAACCAACCGCATATCTTAATCTAGGATGCTACAGGTGCCTGGGGTGCATAACCTGTAGCCACATGATACCTAGGAAGTCGTTCACCCATCCACACACTGGCAAAATCTACACAATAAGGCACAGACTTACCTGCACCAGTGATTATGTGGTGTACAAACTTGTTTGGCATATGTAGGGAAGACGGATTTACCACTAAGGGAAAGGATACGTAACCATCGATCCAGCATACGCATTGCATACAGGGACAAGAGCTCAGAATTGCCTGTTGTAAAACACTTTTTGGAATATAATCACCCCCTTCCCTCCATGAAATTTCAAGCGATTGACCACATCCCACAACCAATAAGAAGAGGTATCCGCAAGAAAATCTTGCTCCAGAGGGAATTACACTGGATCAGAATCTTGGACACTGTACAACCCAAGGGACTGAATGAGAAGTACACCTTGGGCATTTTCCTGTGATCTCTATTCAACTTTTGTCTGGGATCATTCATATCCCAGACGATCTAAAACAGATCTATATAGTCATATGTCCATATGCCCCTCGAATATGGTAGACACACAGATGGACTTCATGGGTCTTATTTTAGACCAGATGTTAATGTACCTTTTATGTTTTCTTTTCCAGTCTCCAGCAAAAATGTCTATTATATTATAGAAAATGGTACCTGTACATATATAAATATGTAGACTTGCACACCAAGGTAATCTTCTGTAAATAGGTATATGCACCTGTAAGAATTTACCCCATACCCTGCCTAGACACCATCTGTCTACTGCATTTATCCCCATTATGTTACTCTGGGATTCTGTTACCCAGCTTCACTTAGTCACACTCTGCATGGATTGCCACTAAATACAGGACCTTTACATAGGTTCAATCTTGCCCTTTTGGATCCTCATAGGTTCATATCTCAACGAGGAGAGATCACTAGCCCAGTACTCAGGGCCAGATTAAGAGCCCAGTGGGCCTGGTGCTGACAATTATGACGGGCCTAATTACAGAATCATATCGACCAAAAACAGTAAAACACTCCCAAGCGTCATGTATCTGATGGAGATGGTGCTGGAGAGAAAGAAAGCAGCTATAAGAAAACACATACCTAGGCTAATCTCTCACTAATTTATGTTTTCATCTTTCAAGTAAATCCATAACCCCTAACAGTAGTGTCCAGTCAGGCAGGAAGTCAATGGGCACGGTAAAAGGGTGTGCCACTGACACAAATCACGTAACCTGCCAAAAGGGGCGAACATGCCCAAAAAGAGGACATGTCTGCTCAAAGAATTAGAAGGCCAGCCTGGCATGAATGCATGTCAGGATGCCTGCCAATCGTGCAGCTGGCCAACTAAGTGCATACTATGCAGACAGCACCCTGAGCTTGGCATAAATGCATCTAATGATGCGCTCACTCCATTCTTTGTAAGGACTGTCCCCTAGCACTCGCTGGTCCTTACCTTCTTACTAGCAGGCAAAAGCTCCTGGTAGATCATCTGGGACAGAGAAAAGCTGTATGTAGTGAGTGTAGAAGAAAGGGAACATGCCACAGTATTAGAGAGACCAAAGTCAGCATTACCTTAAAGGATAACTATAGGGTCAGGAACACAAACATGAATTCATGACCCTATAGTGTTAACACCACCATCTAGCCCCCCTGGGCCCCTCATGCCTCCATAAATATAGCAAAATCTTACTATATTCAAGCCTGAAGCTGTAACTCTGCATGCTGTTAGACTCATAGAAAAAAGCAGTCTGCTGACATCATTAGAAGTGGTGGCCTGATCCAATCACAGTGCTTCCCCATAGGATTGGCTGAGACTGACAAAGAGGCAGATCAGGGTCAGAGCCAGCATGAGTCAAACACAGCCCTGGCCAATCAGCATCTCCTTATATAGATGAATTTAATTAATGAATCTCTATGAGGAAAGTTCAGTGTCTGCATGCAGAGGGAGGAGACACTGAATGTTTGGATGCATTTTAGGCAGCCATGACCCAGGAAGGATCTCTAACAGTCATCTAAGGAGTGGCCAGTGAAGTTATCACTAGGATATAATGTAAAGACTGCATTTTCTCTGAAAAGACAGTGTTTACAGCAAAAAGCCTGACGGTAATGATTCTACTCACCAGAACAAATTCAATAAGCTGTAGTTGTTCTGGTGACTATAGTGTCCCTTTAACTATATTCATTGTCAGCCAGTCCACACAAGGTTTGTTCCCATACATCCCACTTAAGTTTTCCATACTTAAGTAAGAGTATGTGAAAAGTAGTTAGGGTTGGCACCTTTTTTGGAAAAACATACCAGCCTTACTAATTTGCATAATTAAATATGTATGGGTGACATCACATGATGTAAATCACAAGGAGTGACATAAGAGAAAATGCTGTAAAATCACCAAAAAACTACTTAGTTTGATTCTGCTGTATAGATGGATTCCTCCCAGTGCCCCCATGTCTCACAGTGCCCTCATGACTCAGTGTCAATTACTCCAGGTCTCAGTGTTCCTATGTATCAGTGTCTCAGTGCCCCATGTCTCCCAGTGTCCCCTAGTGTCGTGTCCCCAGGTTTCCCAGTGATCCTATGTATCACAGTGTCTCAATGCCCCATGTCTCCCTGTGTCCCCATGTATCCCAGGGTCCCCATGTCACTAGGACACTAGGAAGACGGGGAGACCTAGGGACACGGAGACACCAGTGACACTGGGAGACTAGGGGACTCTGGCTGGGACACATGGGGACAATAGGAAAATAGGGGACACTTGAAGACATGGGGACACAGACACTAGAGATACTGGCTGGGGGACATGGGGACATTGAGACACTTGAGGCAATGAGAGACATGGAGGCACTAGGAGACATGGGGACAGTGAGACACTGGCAGACTGGGGGCACTGGGAGACTAGGGGTCACTGGGAGACTAGAGGGCACTGAGACACCAGGGACACTGACTGGGAGACACTGTGTCCCCATGTGTCTGTGTCATAATATCTCCCAATGTCCCTTCAGTGTCTGCCATAATGTCTCCCAGTGCCCCTTATGTCATAATGTCTCCCAGTGCCCCTTAGTGTCTGCCATAATGTCTCCCAGTGCCCCTTAGTGTCTCAGTGTCTGCCATAATGTCTCCCAGTGTCCCTTAGTGTCTCAGTGTCTGCCATAATGTCTCCCAATGTCCCTTAGTGTCTCAGTGTCTGCCATAATGTCTCCCAGTGCCCCTTAGTGTCCCAGTGTCTGCCATAATGTCTCCCAATGTCCCTTAGTGTCTCAGTGTCTGCCATAATGTCTCCCAGTGTCCCTTAGTGTCTCAGTGTCTGCCATAATGTCTCCTAGTGTCCCTTAGTGTCTCAGTGTCTGCCATAATGTCTCCCAGTGTCCCTTAGTGTCTCAGTGTCTGCCATAATGTCTCCCAATGTCCCTTAGTGTCTCAGTGTCTGCCATAATGTCTCCCAATGTCCCTTAGTGTCTCAGTGTCTGCCATAATGTCTCCCAATGTCCCTTAGTGTCTCATTGTCTGCCATAATGTCTCCCAATGTCCCTTAGTGTCTCATTGTCTGCCATAATGTCTCCCAGTGTCCCTTAGTGTCTCGGTGTCTGCCATAATGTCTCTCAATGTCCCTTAGTGTCTCAGTGTCTGCCATAATGTCTCCCAATGTCCCTTAGTGTCTCATTGTCTGCCATAATGTCTCCCAGTGTCCCTTAGTGTCTCGGTGTCTGCCATAATGTCTCCCAATGTCCCTTAGTGTCTCAGTGTATGTCTCCTTGCAGCCTTTCTCCCCATCCCTTACTTCCCTGAGCTGTAGGCTGTCTCTGCAGGGTGGGAGTTGCTGTCTGGACTCTCTGTAGCTGCTCCCCTGCGGATCAGTGAGTATAGATAGGCAGGGAGGGATTTGCTGGAACTTCCTATCCCTGCCTCTCTCCATACACAGTGACCCCTACTGGCCAGTGCTGGTATTGCATAGTAATCTCTTGTTTATACTGATAAAAAATACCAGCATTTGTATTGCCAGTATCACTGCAATATTGGCACCAGCCAGGCAGCCTCAAATACTGGCTGTGCCAATAAAATAAAAGCCAGGTGGAATCCCTAAGAGTAGTGTGTGAAAAAAATGTTAAAAATTTTTTTTTTTTTTTTTTCAATCAATGGGCCTATTCCATGGGCCTGGGCCTGGGCCTGGAGCTGCAGCTCCATTAGCCCCTATGTTAACCCCTTAAGGACGCAGCTTCAGAAGCTGGACATACCCTTAAGGACTCAAGCTATTTTTGCATTTTTTGCTGTTTGTGTTCAACTGCAATTTGCATCGCTCTCATTTATTGAATCAACACATATTATATTATATATCGTTTTTTAAAGGACAAGATGGGCTTTACTTTGATGTGACTTACACATATATAAAATCTAATTTATTATTAAAAAACATTAAAAAAGAAAAAAAAAAATATATATATATTTTTCACAGTTTTGGCAATAATAGTGTGTGTATAATATGTCCAGCTTAGGAAAAGTAATTCAAAATAAATTCATTTAGGTTTCTTGTTTTTCAAAGTGCATAATATGTAAAGGATTTCAGCTTATTTTAAAAGTTACAGGTCACA